TACACTTCTAATATTACACTGAGGCTGTCAACTAGTGATGAGGCATCACATTACACTTCTAATATTACACTGAGGCTGTCAACTAGTGATGAGGCATCACATTACACTTCTTACATTACACTGAGGCTGTCAACTAGTGATGAGGCATCACATTACACTTCTTACATTACACTGAGGCTGTCTCTCTACAGTTTTTATGTTCCGTCTTATTTCATCCGCTTTTCGTTGTATCCTCCAGTGAATGGGTGGCCTACAGGGTGCAGTATTATACTAGTTAAACCTCCAACCGTGGCTGCCATTTTTCATAGCCATAGCCATGCATAAATATATGTGAGTACAGAAAAGTAAAACCGATAGTAATGTAATTTGCCAAATTCTTGAGACAATCCGCCCCATTATCAAAACACAAACATGAACCAATAACATATCACAAAATATATAACAGAGAACAACAGTTAGCATAAAACAATTACATACGAAAGAATATAAAACAATGGATACATATTACAACTGAGTTTTTATGATAATGTATAAAAGCATATTCTTTCAGCCAAACAGGGAGCCATGGGCTATTTATAATGGAAATAGTTATTGTGTTGAAGAATAAAAATTCATTTTGACCCGTGTGGCTAATGAAATATATTTATTATTACTGAAGACACCATTACATATCCTCTATATATTTGATATAGGATCAATATGTGGCTCTTCATGAAATTCTGGCGGAAGCTTTTGACCTTCCCGATACACTTACATCGAAGTCAGTGTTCGTTGCCAAGTACCACGCCCTTCCACCGATGGAACAACCTGGAAACCAGACCAAGCTCAATGATGAGTTCAAAGTATATAAACTCTTTTATTTCATTGAAACGGTGGAGTGAATAAAAATAATTATTTCATTACAAAACAATAGACAAAGGATATTTCAATTACGACGCAATGACATTTTAATTTGCTATCAAACATTTGTTTTCAGTTGATGTTGGATTTTAAGCCAGATTACAAGTTAGAGCAGGACTTTTGTGCTTCCTTACTTCCCGAAAACGAAACTAAAAATAGGACAATGCGAATATTAGCAGGTTTGTAACAATATCAAGTTGACTATTTTAATAAAAATATAACGGATGAAAGTTATTTTTGAATAGACAGGTTCATGCAAATCCTATTCAACCATTCAACATTTTTAGTCATATCTTATTGAAGAAACTTGATTCTTTGTTACATCCTTCAATAAATCACACTTCAATAAATATGACTCTAAGGATCAAGTAGTTAAAAATGATTTTCTTTGAAAATATGTATTCTGTATTTGCCAACGGTTCAGTGACCGTTCTATTCAGTGAAAAATCGGTAACCTATCTGTATTGATCCTTTCATGTTGATAGTGACAGTACGACTTGTAGTGACAGAACAATGATACTCGGGTGGTGTTAGAAAAGTAGTTTAACTTCACTTTCAGCTGACAAGTTCAGGGCCTTCCTCACGACGGATGCGTCTAGCAGCAATGAATACATCAATGCTATCATAACTCAGGTAAGTCACTAAAACTGTACGATTAAAACAAGTGTATTTGTCCCAGTGAAATGTTATTCATTATCAATGACCTTCTCATAAATGTAGAAATTTTATATATTTACGAAACATAAATAATGAGGACATAATTATCATATATGATTTCTTTTAATATTGCCCAAATCGTACATTGTGTCTGTTCATCGATATTGTCCACCTCAAACGTTGTATCTGTTTAATGATATTGCCCACTCACACACTGTGTCTGTTCACATATTGTGTCTATTAATTGATATTCCCCCACACATATTGTGTCTGTTCATTGATATCGCCTAACCCGCACAATGTTTCTGTTCATTGATATTTCCCCAAACACATTGTGTCTGTTCATTAGTATTGCGACATACCCACATTGTATCTGTTTATTGATATGGCCCTAACCCTACATTGTGTCTGTTCATTGATATTGCCCCACACACATTGTGTCTGTTCATTGATATTGCCCCAAACACATTGTGTCTGTTCATTAGTATTGCGACATACACACATTGTATCTGTTTATTGATATGGCCCTAACCCTACATTGTGTCTGTTCATTGATATTTTCCAAACCTCACATTGTGCCTATTTATTTGATTTGTTCCACTTGCTTGTACTGTTCTTTTTGAGTATAGCTTTGCGCAACTAACAACATTTTATACTCTGTTTCAGTCTTACATTAGCAGACAGGGATACATAGTCACCCAGTTTCCTCTCCCGGAAACCAGAGCAGACTTTTGGACCCTAGTGATGAACTACCAATGTGATACTGTAGTCATATTAGGGGAAGAAATCGATCCCGCACAGGTAAGGTTTACCGTAGTGTACCATGTCACCAAATATAGAATAAGCCTGAAACTATAACAAACTGTGATATATCTATCAAAACATAACATTTGTATAAACCCATGTATCATGAAATATTAATTTCATAGCGTAGACAAATAACGTTAAGTCAGTAAAGTGTTCCACAAAGACACATGTTTGTATAGAATATGATCATGAATTTTAAGTGAGACGAAATGTAATAAAATGTATTAAAACGGTGTCATCTATAATACAAAACATTTGTATGCATATTTTTTTTGCTTTGGTACACGACATGCCTCACAGCGAAAAAACCCAACCAATTACAGTATGACGTCATGCTATCGTCTTTATTATGACTGAAGTCATATATTTACAAGCTATTACAGACTGTACATATCAGGCAAGCATCACTCTATGAGTTGAAGGACAAACTTATTTAAATATATGCAGAGTACATCTTGAATAAATTACAATAAACAAAAGTATTAGGCATTCAGTTTGGTAATAACATTCAAACGTTGTATACATGAAGTACCAGACACGATCAACATATACTAGTCATAGAAAAATATCTAAGGTAGGATGTTTTATTTAGATTTATTGTCAAATACTTAAACATATTAGAGAGCCCTCAAATATAAGTGCCTTATATTGTCCACGATATAGAAGACAATATATAGAAACTTCCTTCTTTGGCAGGATTCACAATGGATGCCTGTCAACAAAGAAGATCTAAATTTCGGTGACATCACCGTGAAACAAAATGGAACCCAAACAGAGTTCAAAGGTGTGGATGTTAGTGATGTATCAATAACGAGAAAGGTATGTGCTGTTAGTGGGATATATATTTTATTTTTGTAAGATATACATTTGGAGTTGTAACCGTCTGATACAGATATCGTAGATATTTCCTTGGTTATCATATCATACGCTACAGGTTATTCTAACTCTGTTAGAGGATATACCTGTTAGTAAATTGATTCCATTTTATTTCAATTTACATTACTCTTTTGGCGAAATCCAAAAAAGGGTACTATTTTTCTTTGCCAGATACATTCATTAACATTTCTAAAACCCTGTTCGGTACGAATTGCCAATAGGCTTTTTGTCAGTTGTAATGCAGATGAAAGGCCGTATTAATTCACACAGTAATGTGATGAAATTTCAGCATGAACCGACTGACCACACGTCGAGAATTTTCCGAATGAAGGATTGGACAATGGAAAGACAGGTCCCACCGTCAAAACAATCCATCCTTCATCTTCTGGAGCAGGTGGAAAGCAGGCGTCGGTCTAGTGGCAGTAAACCTGTTGTAGTGACGTGCAAGTGAGTTATAAATAGTTCAGTTACACGACTGTCGAGACATGTAGCGCTTTGACATTACAACACTGTGATCCAGGGTTACTGGCGGTCAACACGATAACCGTAATGTGAAGCTATCGGAGCGTCTCTATAAAGGTTCAGAGTATTCGGGAACCTCTACCCTGTATTGGAATATGAATTTCAATATATGTGGATTACAACATATATAAGGTCAATCTTTCTGAAAATAATTAGCGCAATTTGAACTCCGAAATGCATGAAAAGCATGTGGGTATGTCGGGAGGAGACAAAACAGCCAAAAATTTGATTGATGAAATGCTTCGTATGATAAAATCGTAAGATTTGTGGAAACCCTGTTTATCAATGTCTTTCTGTTTGAGTTTGGTGGCAAAATATTCAATCCTTGAGTTCAGATCGATGAAAAACCTCGGATGATAAAATCGTAAGAATAGTTGAAATCCTTTTTGACAATATTGTTTTTTACTTTGGTGGCAAGATTATTTTACCAAACTATTTAACTACGTACCTGTCTTGGTCGACTTAATCATGTTCTTATCATAGACTATATATATCTTGTCACAACAGGTAAAATGGGTCTTTCAAAGCCCTCCAATTACAGTGCTAGACGCTTACCTATCTTGAATATCTAGTCATATTATCTTTGTATTTTTTATGGGCCACCCTTTTCAATTATTCCATTGGCTGCATTTTGCCATCGTTTGATCGATTTTGAGTTCGAATTTTTGACACTTTGGTATTCTCTTCCTGTGTTATATGTTTACATATCCAGATTATATTATGATCACCACCCTAATAACCACCAGCTAGTTTAAAGATTATTTTTCAACTTCAGATTTTGACTTTTTGAAAACTTCAATCTACTCTTAAGTCATGAAATATTAATGTATACATTCTTTTCAAACAATTATGGCATACTGATGCTAAAAGACCTGGTCAACATAGTACAGTATGTGTTTTCTCGTGTCGTTTGATCTTAGCTAGGTAGTTTTTACATTAGTCATTGATTCACTAAACCGTAATCTCGTCCTCTGACAGAGATGGGTCGACACAATGTGGACTGTTCTGTCTCATGGCGAACGCTCGGGATCAGCTCAAAATAGACGAGGAAGTGGATGTGCTTCAGGCTGCAAGACAACTTCTAATAAGGCGGCCGGAGTTTCTAGCCTCTTTTGTAAGTCTTCATTTCAGAAAACAAACATGGCATTGTCAATATTAGACCGATTTATGTGACATTTCGTCACGAAGAGAGTGTACTTTCACCGACAATGACAGAACTATGGGTGCAATGCTCATTAACACTCTGTTTAATCTGTACAGATGTTATTGGATAGTGCACGCAGAAGGCTTATTCAAAGTAACTCTTGTATTTTCAAAGTTAAGATTTCTGATTAAATTCCTGTTAACTAACAGCATTAGCTAACGGGATGACATTGAATGTACATTTGCTTTACATGTTAACTGTATGTGAACCAAAATAATTGAAGTTGCGTTCATAGCATTTTAAACGCATCTGCTGTCACGTAATTTGATTATGCCGTCATTTTTTCATTTGCTGTCTATTTTAAATATCATTGAGAAAAACTCCATCTTTCAAGTGACTAAAATTGTATGAGTTCTGGTTCGTCGATATGGTTTTGTTTGATGGTACAGACACAAAACACAGAAATAGCCATTTCCAGGCTAATTTATTGGTTCAACAGTACCCTTAAACTTTTCATTCGTTTTCAGGACCAGTATCAGTTTTGCTACACCATCCTCAACGACTACCTGGAGACCATGGACTGTTATGTAAATTGAGGAGGGTTCTCCTGGGGATAACATACTCATCAATTATTTAAGAACTGGTTTGGACCAAGATTTAGGTAGTGGATCATTAAGATTACACAAAGTGAGAACTGTAAAAGGGTGTGGTTCCACTAGCAGCTACTGATGTTTACATACTCTGCATATACTGACAACTGTTGTAGAGCACGGTTCTACAAGCAGCTAATGATGTGTTCATGTACTGTCAACTGTAGTAGAGTGTGGTTCTTAATGACAAATATTGAGGAGTATGTGTATACTTTAGAGTATGGTTCTACTAGCAGCTACTTTCGTAGAGAATGACAATCGTAGTAGAGTATGGTTCTACTAGCAGTTGCTGATGTATACATGTAGTGAAAACTTTAGTAGAGTATGGTTCTACTAGCAGCTGCTGATGTATACATGCAGTAAAAACTTTAGTAGAGTATGGTTCTACTAACAGTTGCTGATGTATACATGTAATGAAAACTTTAGTAGAGTATGGTTCTACTAGCAGCTGCTGATGTATACATGTAATAAAAACGTTAGAGTATGGTTCTACTAGCAGCTGCTGATGTATACATGTAATGAAAACTTTATTAGAGTATGGTTCTACTAGCAGCTACTGATGTATACATGTAATGAAAACTTTAGTAGAGTATGGTTCTACTAGCAGCTGCTGATGTATACATGTAATAAAAACGTTAGAGTATGGTTCTACTAGCAGCTGCTGATGTATACATGTAATGAAAACTTTATTAGAGTATGGTTCTACTAGCAGCTACTGATGTATACATGTAATGAAAACTTTAGTAGAGTATGGTTCTACTAGCAGCTGCTGATGTATACATGTAATAAAAACGTTAGAGTATGGTTCTACTAGCAGCTGCTGATGTATACATGTAATGAAAACTTTAGTAGAGTATGGTTCTACTAGCAGCTACTGATGTATACATGTAATGAAAACTTTAGTAGAGTATGGTTCTACTAGCAGCTGCTGATGTATACATGTAATAAAAACGTTAGAGTATGGTTCTACTAGCAGCTGCTGATGTATACATGTAATGAAAACTTTAGTAGAGTATGGTTCTTCTAGCAGCTACTGATGTATACATGTAATGAAAACTTTAGTAGAGTATGGTTCTACTAGCAGCTGCTGATGTATACATGTAATAAAAACGTTAGAGTATGGTTCTACTAGCAGCTGCTGATGTATACATGTAATGAAAACTTTAGTAGAGTATGGTTCTTCTAGCAGCTACTGATGTATACATGTAATGAAAACTTTAGTAGAGTATGGTTCTACTAGCAGCTGCTGATGTATACATGTAATAAAAACGTTAGAGTATGGTTCTACTAGCAGCTGCTGATGTATACATGTAATGAAAACTTTAGTAGAGTATGGTTCTTCTAGCAGCTACTGATGTATACATGTAATGAAAACTTTAGTAGAGTATGGTTCTACTAGCAGCTGCTGATGTATACATGTAATAAAAACGTTAGAGTATGGTTCTACTAGCAGCTGCTGATGTATACATGTAATGAAAACTTTAGTAGAGTATGGTTCTTCTAGCAGCTACTGATGTATACATGTAATGAAAACTTTAGTAGAGTATGGTTCTACTAGCAGCTGCTGATGTATACATGTAATAAAAACGTTAGAGTATGGTTCTACTAGCAGCTGCTGATGTATACATGTAATGAAAACTTTAGTAGAGTATGGTTCTTCTAGCAGCTACTGATGTATACATGTAATGAAAACTTTAGTAGAGTATGGTTCTACTAGCAGCTGCTGATGTATACATGTAATAAAAACGTTAGAGTATGGTTCTACTAGCAGCTGCTGATGTATACATGTAATGAAAACTTTAGTAGAGTATGGTTCTTCTAGCAGCTGCTGATGTATACATGTAATAAAAACGTTAGAGTACGGTTCTACTAGCAGCTGCTGATGTATACATGTAATGAAAACTTTAGAGTATGGTTCTACTAGCAGCTGCTGATGTATACATGTAATGAAAACTTTAGTAGAGTATGGTTCTACTAGCAGCTGCTGATGTATACATGTAATGAAACCTTTAGTAGAGTATGGTTCTTCTAGCAGCTGCGGATGTATACATGTAATTATTTTTTTAGTAGAGTACGGTTCTTCTAGCAGCTGCGGATGTATACATGTAATGAGTCCTTTAGTAGAGTAGATTCTGCTAGCGGCTACTGACAAGTGTGATTAATATAAGTAGAAAATATTTGTTTCATGACTGTTGTAAAAGATATAAATTTATATTAAAATATGTATATTTATGGATATTTAGATATAACCTTTGAAGAACAAATCTTTTTAAACGTTTAAATTATGCAACGGAGATTCATGGAAATGCCTTCACTCTCCGAGTGGAAATTATTTTCTGATTGGCGATAGAAAAGTTAACATCTTACATACCAGACTAAGAACTAGTACCTTAAATAATGATCTATTCCATACAAAGTTAATACATTTTCGACACTGCCAATGTGGTCATCCCTTTGAAGATACCTATCATTTCTTTTTTGTCTTGTAACAATTATGTAGACAATAATTCAATTATATCGTGAACTGAATGATTTCATTCCTCTGGACCTGCAGCTGATACTTTTTGGTAGTTTGGAACAAGAAAATGAAATAATATTTCAACATACTCGGCACTACATTCTAGATCCACATAGATTTTAATACCCCCTCCCCCCCCNCACACACACACACACACCACACACACACAACCCCACCCTCCACTTTTGTATAGAAATCGTGCGTTCTTGGTAATAATTATTTATGTTGGTAATTAATTAGTCAATAGTAATCTTTATCTTCTTGCATGTTGAAGAGTCGTATTTCTGGTCTTCTCCTAAACACACGGCACTTGTGAAACGAAAATACCAAGAGGAATGAAATGTACAAGGAGAAGGCAACCGTAGCACGGGAAGTGATGAACTTTTGTAAAGCTGAGTGTAATGAATAGTGGACAGTGTAATGAGTGCCGTCTGTGTCGGAGAAGATCACTACCACTATCTCACTATGTTATAATATGTTATTAGGAAAAGGCTTTATATAAGTTGGACAACTTGTGCTCAATGTATAATTGATGCAAATAAAAATATGTTTAAATAAAAAACAAACATTTTCGGCATTCATTCTTCCCGAAACCACAAAAGTAAAACTCTCAGTAAAAGGCATGCGCTCAAAGATACCCGATAGATACTTTAACATCTGTAGCAACGACGCCAATGACATTTTGACCAACACCCAACCGGAAGTGATCCTCAAATTGGTTAAACCGGCATATATAAAGATACTCCAATCTGGTATGTTAAAGGTCTAGCTGGAATATAATATTGATGCTGGCAACTATACCATTTCTCTTTCGCTCCATATTGAATTTGTTGGCATCTTAAATCGCACAATGATACTACACTGAACACAGTAACAAGTAATATCCCGCCAAATTTTTAAACATAACTTTCATCAGAAAATGGTGAACGGTGCTATGCAACGGTAAAATGATAATGCAGCCTCATTTCATGCATTCTCTGTTAAAACGACTTATAATTTACTTGTATGATGAATGCAATGTTATTATCTCTCATATATCGTTGAAAATATCACAAAGGATGGTTGTCTATAAGGCCCTTTTTTGGGCCCAGGTATATTCGGATTTGCCCTCCTTAATATGTTCAAAGATGTCCTATTGTATTACATGCACAAAAACCAAGGTAAAAGTTTGACCGAAAGTGGGTTTTTGGGGTACCAAAACGGGTAGGGTAAATCACAAATATAATTTGCTGTTTTCAAAATGAGCATAAAAACACAAAATGTTCCTTTTTGTTTTTCAATATATAAAAGAATGAAAAATGACGGAAATTCAATCGTCACTTAAAATCGTTTATAAAAAACAGGATTAAGTCAGGGGGTGCTTTTAGGTAATTTTCAAATAAAAAGTGTTTTGTTTTCTCAATAATTTCCTTTGAGTTGAAAGAGCTTCCAACCGTGCACTGTTATGACGCGTCCTCAGGTATTTCTATACAGGTACCTCGATCGGAATCCCGTGTCTAAGAATAGATTATTGTAAACAGACGAATTCAAGGCCATGGCTACTAAAAATGCGTATTTCGCGTTATGCTGTATAAAACACAAGATCGTACATTCATTACCAACAAGTTTGAAAGGATTTTGTTTTCATTACTACTGCTACGTCATGCCGTTACTTGTTTTTTTAAAACACACATCTTGATTTTGTTCTTTCTTTAACTCGGAATGATAAAATTACATATAGTTTTCGAATAGCATGTCTTACACGTGTATTGCGCTCCTAACTTTGTGCTGCAGTCTTCCTTATGTAAAATGCATATTCAATACACACTTTCCTTTTGTTTTATACTGAGTTATGGCTTCAGGACACATCTCAATCTTGGCAATTTCAAATATATGTACCTCTCTATCTTAAGCGAATTAAAAGGTGCAGGACGCCCTTTATATGCTATAATTATATGTTAGTGATAGTTAATATTGTATATCATGTATATCATATAATATGTGTTCAGCAGCTGTGGCTGAAGTAAGTTCCAGGTCCTGATTCGTTTTCTTACTTATCAAAGTTAACTTACAAATAGAAAATGGCATTTGCCACCACACCTACAGTAAAATGATTATTAAGTTTAATATATGAAGATTGATTTATTGGTAATTTTAAGTCTCCTAGTTCCAAGGAAAGTACCTGTTTTAATAATATCAATTGTTGTGCCCATTTCCACTGTTTATGCGCTGATTGTACATAAAAGGCATTTTGGGATAAGCATACAACTTGGCATAGATATTGGTTATATAATGATAGTTAATTTGTGAAAGTTTCATACGTGTCTTACGATGCATTTTTACTTAAAAAACCCACTTTCTTTTGTTTTGGAATACACAGACTAAAGCGATCAACACCAAACACTCCCCCATACTCGAGCTCCTCACCCTCTCGTCAATACCTCACACTGTAATTCCCTCTACCCTAATTCCCAATTAGAAAATGAGCACCTTAAACTTGAAGTATCCAATCAGAGATAACCTTTCACAGGAGGTAGCTCCAATATCAGAATACAACTGCCAAAGTAGCAGTCTTCTATTAGAGCTGAACGTGATATTGTTCGTGTAGATGAAAGTGTAGTATTTGTACACTTAACAATCTACAGTCGCTTCACGACAAAAACTAAGCTAAAATGGCCAATCAGGAGTTAGGGGAGCTTTGATTTCACATCAGCGCACAAATGGGCACTTCAGTGTTTGAGACAAAAGCAGCAACGCTTAGAAATCGTACAGGTTTTATATCAAATAAAATCTTTCTACGCAGGAGTGCAGTTTTTATAACATCAAATAAAATACTACAACAATATTCTAACTCTCGGTCGTTTTAAAGGGAGACATTTGAGCGCGTTCTGAATAATTGCATTTAAATCATAATTTAAAATGTGAAAGAAAAACATTAAAATATGATATATTTTGGCTAATTCCATGTTGAGTAAGATGGTAGGTAACTCTTTATTGTTTAATTCTATATCAGGTAAACCAATTACA